ATTTGCTCAAATATTCTCTTGATATCTTTTGTTACTGATGTTGTTCTTTTTCGATATACATGACAGTAGAGTGTATTTTGACATCAACAACTTTGTTATCTGAGGTTGAAGGATGCATTGCTTCTCTTTTAGCAGGCACAACTGTTGGTAACATGAGAAACTTCATGGTCATTGGTGGCTAGAGTTATGGGAAATCTAGAGTTGCTATGAGGACTAATATAATGCATAAATGGAGTATAATTTATTCTAACCAGGATCCCATTTTTGTGGTTGTACATGATGTGGAGTTTCAGTGGTTGGTGTATTCATATATGAACATAGGAAAGTTATGTCCAGTTTATTCTATTGTCTTTCCTAATCCCATCTTTCCTCCCTTCCTCTTTGTCTAATCCAATGATCTTATATTCTTCCCATTCCCCCCTCCCACCTTATTGTGTGTTAGCATCCACATATCAGAAAGAATATTAGGCCTTTGGTTTTGGGGGATTGGCTTATTTCACTTAGTATGATAGTCTTCAGATCTGTCCATTTGCCAGGTTAACTTCAGTGGTGAATTAGGCTTACTTTGTGCAATATCAGAGATCTGTATGGGGCCTGTGGTAAAATTACAGAAGGGTTTGAGGTCTGAGAGGGATTTAAACCATCTGGACCAAAGTTTCTCAACTTAGTATTGGTACACTTGGACTGGTTCAGTATTTGGTAGGGGCCATCTTGGACACTGCAGGATGTTCTGCAGCACCCTGGCCTCTACCTGCCAGATGCCAGTTGTACCTATTTTTCCCTTGCAAGTGAAAATACTCAAGACATTGTCAAACGTCCCTAAGGGTGAGAGGAGAACCACTACTGACTGAAACACCAATGATCTAGACCTAATACCCTCATTTTACTAATGAGAAAACTGAAACTAAGTTAAGAGTAAATGACTTGCCCAGCTAGTTAGTGGTAAGAAAACCCAGTCTTCTAATCCTACTTCAGTCTTCTTTCCATAACAGCAGAAGAGAGACCTTTCAGATCCAAAGTTTTTCCTTCTCTCCCAGCCTTCTCATTGTTATAAAGGATCCTTCTGCTGCTATATTTGCAAGAGAGGGTTAACAGGAATCCCAGGCTTAGGTGGGGTGAAATTTTAGCATGCCATCTTGAATTCCATGGCATAGAGCTGCTGGAAAAAAGCAGGATTTATTTGTTTGGAAATTATTTGGACAAGTCGTTACCATGTCTCCAATGACTACAATCATTCTTAACCAAACTCTTTTAATAGGTGCTGCAACTTATGTCGACAAACAGTGTCAAAATCCATAAATTACCAAATTTTATATGTTTATGAATGCAGTATGGCTCTCCATGTTTGCATTTCTCTGGTGCACCCTTTGCAAATTTATGGACATCATCATCTAACCCAAGGATCTGAAATTGTTGTCCATTCACTGAAATCTAATAAGCCAGACCATGGCACCCCAATTTCCCAAGTATAACTAACAAAAAAGGAAAGCCTACAGTGTAAGTCCTAGAGACCACCAACTTCCCCCTTCCCTTTAGTGTTTCTGCTGCAAATTCCTACCTAATAATGAAAACAGATAAAATGACTGCTTGGGTTCCTCATTTTTTCCAGTGTGAATAAAATTCCTATGAATTCTTGGGATGAAATTATTTTAATGAGGTGCAAGGTCACAGGGGTAACAGAGAAGAGATTGGACTTAATACATTTATAAGAAAAGGAGGCAACTTTTAAAATAAGAAAGATAATTTAATAAGATTTCTTCTTTACTGCATCCATGTTATTTAATCTTATATTTCACTCTACTTTGTTTTTTTCTAGGAGATGAATAGATAAAAATCATAAATTATAAGCCTAAATCTGATCTGCAAATCTTTGTGATTAAGAATATCCAAGTTTCTTCTTAGATTTAAATTTGGTGACAACCAAAAAGACTTCATTCACTCATTGGTTTGTGTGTTCTTGCTATAAATATTCCTGCAGGCCTACTGTGTGCTAGCCGTCACCCTGAACATCGGGAGTGCAATAAAGAACAAAAACTTTGCCTCTGTAGAGTTTATACGTTAGTGTGAAATGACAACGGATAAATAATACATTAGAAAGTTAGAAGTGCTATGAGGAAAATATTTCAAGGTAAACACTAGAGAGTGAGGATGGAGAGCTGTTTTAAGTGGGAAGATCAGCACTGGCACAAACTTCAATGGTAATGTGAATACTAACTGTGCTTGAGTCTCATGTTTGGCTTGGTCCCATGGAATTACAGCTGGAGTGACCACATACCCCATCCTTGTGTAATGGCTGTATGGCCCTTACCAAATCCCACATCACGGTGACTATCAATAGACTATCATATTTATCCCTATATTAATACCATTGGTGTGAAGGCGTTTCTATTTGTGTATGCTCCAATTTAAGGAAGTTTTCTTATTTAGCAAAAATCTACCTCCTGCAATTTCCATTCAACCTAGATGCCCAAAATATGGTGCCCCAAATAGAATAAAACACTTCTCTCTCTTATCTGTGGTGTGATATCAACTCTTAACTCGAATGGGAACCCTGCCTGAAATCTTTGTCAGGGAACTAGGTAAAGGAGACCTTATTTTTATCTTATCTCAGTGTACTAAATCTTTAACTTCTAGTTGAATTAGATATTCTAGGTTAGCCAACCTAGAATTTAAGTTTACTGACCTAGTATTTAACTAAAATTTTAAAGAAAAAAAAAAGTATCATTTTCTATCCCCAGAGAGTGTTCATGTGAGAATTTTGCTTCTCAAGTGTTCAATAGGCTACAGCAAGAGAAGGAGCAGGATTGAAGGCTTTGATTCACTGTCAGAACCAGAGGAAGCCGCCCTCTGGTTCAGACGTGGAAAGAATTATCTATATTCAGTTCTGTGTATCCTGGGGTCCCACAGGGAACAAAGCTAGGAGTACTAGAGATGGAGCTGCCTCCAGATTAGACGCATGCTTTTAATCACTGCCTGAGCTACAGGCTGAAACAGGGTCACTTCTTGGTGAAGGAGTAGTGGCCAGAAACTCAAGCTGGCTCACAATCAGCATATCATCCAAGGTTCAATTGTTATTAAAGTCATAGATCCCAGTCCACTCGGGCTACCCAGCTCTCTGTCTGAGTGCTTCCTGGTTTCCCTCCTAGTCCACTGCAGTCCAGGGTGACCCAGGGAGCTAGGCAAAAACCAAACATGCAAAATACCCACCCCAAGATTGACAGGTGGAGGAGCAAAGACCAGCAACAAGATCCTGACAGGTCACTAGGCCAAAAACAAGGGATTTCTTGAATGATTCTGGGTTGCCAAATAGAGCTAGATATGTTTATCTCTGTGTGCTCACTTTATTAACACACACACACACACACACACACACACACACACGGCTTTACATGAAAGAATATAAGATTGTGTAAATTTATGTTCATTTCCTGACACTGTGGTTTGGAGACCTGCATTCATGGGGGGAGGGGCAACATTTTAACATATAACATATTTTCAAATGCATAGGTCTAATCTACTTCAAACCCAATTTTTAAAATAATGACAGCATGTACTTCAAGAAAACAAACAAAAAAATCAGAAAGTTTTGTAATAATACATTTAATTCAAAAGTGTCAAATTCATGCATGTATCTAGCACTGTTGGGTCTTGATATGACACAACAGGTGTTAATTGTGCAATGAAATTTTCTTTATCTCCTATTAATAACTCATGAAATAACAAACTTATCTGAAAATTTGGATTCGAAGAAGGGGGAGTTATTGTTATAGGATTTTGTTTTCTATGCACCTAAAACCATAAGATGCCTAAAGCTAGTCATGAAAGTTAAAATGATGATTATGATCATTTTAGATGACCTGGGTTAGAGAACACAGCTGGAGAGGAAAGCAGTTTGGTTGGAGCTGGGGACAGAGGGCACCCTCTACCTATCAGTCCCTCCCTTTTCTGTCCCCACAGCTGTCAGATACCTTGTCCCCTTTACCTTAATGTGTCCCTCCTCCCTCTCTTCTCCTTTGTCTTAACATGTGATTTCCAGAACCATGCAGAGCTTCTCTCCTCCAGTTCTCATCTATGAATTTTCTCAGAAGGCAAAAACTTATAAAGCCATTCAGCTTTAAGAAACATAAACAGCCCATTTTGTGAGCTATTTACTGTTTATATGTTATTACAACACAACATAATAAATCATATGGATAATTAAATAATGTTAGTTTGCCTTTGCTGTATGTAACTAATTCCTATGAGATATCTACTTACAACTGCTCAAGATTAGGCCATTAGAGAACATTTGTGTCTGAGGACTCCAGCTTCAACAGGAAGTTCCTTGGCTTTAGTAGAAATTATGGTGATTCAATATTCTAGAAAATTACCTACTTGGAAAGCATAGCAGATTCCATATTCTCCCATTTCTAGGTTTTGTTTTGCTTTGTTTTTGTTTTTTTCATACCAGGGATTGAACTCAGGGGCACTCAACCACTGAGCCACATCCCCAGCCCTATTTTTGTATTTTATTTAGAGACAGGGTCTCACTGAGTTGCTTAGCGCCTCGCTTTTGCTGAGTCTGGCTTTGAACTCGAGATCATCCTGCCTCAGTCTCCTGAGCCGCTGGGATTACAGGTGTGCGCCACCACACCTGGTTTCATTTCTAAGTTTTTAATCATCTAAAAACAAAGAGTTATGCTAGGACCCCCAGGTTCCAGACTCTCTCCTGTTATTAACCTGCTGTTTCACCTTGGACAGTCACTTGATCCCTCTAGGCCTGTCCATCCTCATCTGTGGAAGGACTTCGAGCATCCATGCCATTATTCTTATAGGAAAAGAAATAACTTATTTCTTATAGTAAATGAAAACCAATGTTCTGAGTTGAATATTACAAGTTATTAATAGTGCATGAGGGTTTTGTAAAATAACATATGTTCTAGAACTGCCATTCTTGACTGTTTTCTGTAGTAAACATGTGAGTTTCTTAGCTAAATAAAACCGATGTTTTGTCATTGCAGATATATAGGATTTACAAATCCCTGGATGAAGCACTTGGGGAGTCTTTAAATGCCATAATCAACAGCCATTTCAAAGAAAATAATATAGATGGTTTTGGAAAATTCATGCTGTTTCTTCACGGAATTTTAGGTGAGTGTGTTTAAGCCCACGGATGTAAGATGGACATCAATGATGTCCTTGTAAAGTGCTTCTCTCCCTTTAATAAAAGGGGTTAAATATTACCAACACCCTCCAGCTTTCTACTTTTAATGGGGTGTCAGACAGTGAAAGACTTATTTTCTGTTCCTTTTGTTTTTATTATTATCAGAAACCATCTGAATTATGAGGTGTTCAACACAGAGATGGCCCCAACAATATCTTTCTTGTTTCTGTTAAGCAAATGCCATAACGTTTTATTTCTCCTCTAAAAATTAGCAATTTTTTTAAAGATAGAAAACATATTTCATATTAGAGTAATTATTCAGAATGAGATAAGAACCATGTTTTAATAAGGTATAAACTGAAGGAAAATTTGCTTGTGTCTCTGGCAGTTTAATCATTGACACATCTACGTGTGAGATAAAGATAACATTTCAAAAGCTGCCTGCCGGAGGGTTGTATGTTGCCTACATTAAAATCAGGACATGGTTAAGTTCAAGTGCAGTAATTTTTTTTAACTTCTATGAACAATTAAGTACACACACATACAACACTTTAAATTTTGTTTGCCTGGCTATAAAACGGATGAATAAATATGTTTTATATCATCAGACATAATACCCTTCCATGGTACAACAGAACTTGCAAATTTGTGCTTTAATATTAGCCTTAAATATCATCATTTTTTTTAGCAGGACAGAGAGGATTGGAGGAATTGAGTAGTGGTCATATTGGGGAAATTGTGTGACTTTTCACTTCCTTCTAAGATCAGTTTTCAAAATGTGGTTTTATTTTCTTCTGTGAAGAATGGTGATGTCCAGATCATCAGAATACACCCATGTCACTTTCTGAATAAAGCAACGTAGCTGGCATTGCTCACTGCCTGCCTTAAAGGCAGGCACACTTTTTTTAATATACTTTTGGTTAACTTCACAGTAAGGTCTGTAACTCTCTCATGATCTTAAGGGTGCATGCATGAATTTGGTTTGTTGAGACTGGATATAGAACTACAATGGTGATTTCATTTGTTTTCAAGATGTTTGCTAGATGTCTACCTCCCAGGAGGTAAACAGTGCACTTTGAAAATATCATTAAGTCCATCTCCCTACTGGAGCAGTTACTCCAAGAGGAATGAAAATGAAAAACTGATTTTCTGAGTTCTCTGTTCTCCAGTGTGCCAGTTTGTGCCTGTTTTTACCTTGAGGTCCATGCTTTACCCTGAACCTGCTCAGTTCCATGGGGATAGACCCCTGTGGGCTGCTTTCCAACCCCAGCCTTTGCCTCCAGCTTCCCCCCAGTAACCTTTAACCCTGAACCCTAGCAACACTGGCTCTTCCCCTGGTCCCTTGAGAACTGTAGGTGGTAGTATCTTGGACTTTTTGCTAATTATGCTCTTTAGGTTGATTTACTATCCCTAGTTTAGCCTCTCGTCAAATGTAATCATTTCTCTTGGGTTAAATTCCACCCGTTTTAAAATACTTAGAGTGTTTTCTCTTGTTGGTTGCATCCTAACTCATCCATTAATGCCTCATTCCAAAATGACTGGAAGAAAAGTGTGCAGGGATTACTTGCTTCTCCCCAGTAAAACAAATGATCCACAGGAAATAAATTTAAAGTTGGGTAGTTTCATTTGGTCTTTGTTTTGTTTTGGATTTTGTTTCTTTTTTTCACTTATAAAAAACTTTAAATTAAGACATTGAGGGCTGGGGCTGGGGCTCAGTGGTAGAGCACTCGCCTAGCATGCGTGAGGCACTGGGTTCGATCCCCAGCACCACATAAAAATAAAACAAAATAAAAGTATTGTGTTAATCTACAACTACAAAAATTTTTTTTAAAAAAGACATTGAGATATAACACACACATGATACCAGGAAACATGTATTTCTATGAATTTTCACAATGTGATTATAGTCAATCAAATAAAAAAGCAGAACTTCACCAATACTTCCAGATGTTCTAGTCATGCCTTTTTGTAGCTGATTCCCCCAGAGGAAATCACTATCCTAGTTCATATCACCATTGATTAGTTTTGCCTATTACAGAACTTTATCTGATGGAATCATACAGTGGTTTAAACAGCAATGGAACATTCTTTTTTTTTTTCAATTGATAAACTTTAATTTTGGGTACAATTTATTGTTCACAGTAAATTGAGGGAAAGTTACAAACATTTCCCATATACTCCCTGTCCCCAAATACACATAGCCTCCCCCACTATCCAGATCACACCAGAGTGGCACATTTATTATTACAATCTGTGAACTTACACTGACACACTGTTATCACCCAACTACATAGTCTACATTGGAGTTCATTCTTTGTGTACATTCTGTGGATCTTAACAAATGTACAACGACACATATCCACCATTAAAATATCATATGAAGTAGTTTCATTGCCTAAAAGTCCTCCTCTCCACTAAGCTCTGGAAACCAATGTCTTTTTGATGCCTCCATAGTTTTCTTTTTCCAAAATTCCATACAATTGAAATCATACAGTGTATGTCCTTTTCAGATTGGCTTCATTCACTCAGTAATATGGAATTAAATTCACTCCCCATATTTTCATGACTTGATCACTCAAGTGCTGAATAATACTCTGTTTTCTGGATGTGCCACATTTTGTTTATCTGTTGACCTACTGAAAGACATTTCATTGCTCCCATGTTTTGGTAATTATGAATAAAGCTGCTGTAAACATCTGTGTAGGTTTTTGTGTAGACATAACTTTGCAAGTCATTTAGGTAAATACCAAGAAGTATAATCACTGGATTGTATAATAAGAAGACATATAGTTTTGTAAGAAACTGATGAACTCTCTTGCAAAGTGGTTGTACCATTTTTTTTTATCTCCACCAATAATAAATGATCCTCTTGCTCCACATCCTTGCCAGCATTTGGTGTTGTCTGTGTTTTGGAGTTTGGTCATTCTAATAGGTGTATAGTTGTTTTAATTATCAATTCCCTAATGACATCTAATGTTGAGCATATTTTCTTTTTCTTTTTGGCCATCTGTATATCTTCTTTGATGAGGTGCCCATTCAGGTCTTTGGCCTACCTTTTAATTGGGTTCTTCATTCTCTTATTGTTGAATCTTGGGAGTTCTTTGTATATTTTGGATAGCAGTGTTTATAAATACTTATTTCTCATTCTCTTAAAGACTGAATTTTTTTTATCCTTAAAAGTTTTTAACTTATTATATTTAAAACTGTATTCTAAGCTGTTCAATTTTGTAACATTAATTTGTTTCTGTTAACAAAATCATTGTCACCCTTCTCATTTGGCTTTTCAAATTAATAGAAATATTTTTAAAGTTTTAGGTATGTCCTAAAATCGATTTTCAATTTTTAATGTTCACATTTCATAAACTAGTTTGTATAATACAAGAACTTCTCATGGGACACCAGTCTCATTCTGGCATTCACATTTTTTTGTTGGAACTTTTTTATTTTTATACTTAAATATATTTATTTTTATTTATTATTTCTTCTTTTTAAATTTTTATTTATTCTTTTTAGATATACATGACAATAGAGTACATTTTGTCGTATCATACATACATGGGGTATAACTTCCCATTCTGTGGTTTACATTATGTGGAGTTATACTGAGGTATACTCACATATGAGCATAGAGAAGTTATGTCCGAATCTTTCTACTGTCTTAACTAGTCCCCTTCTCCCTCCCTTCCCTTCATTCCCCTTTGTCTAATCTAAGGAACATCTATTCTTTTCTCCTCCCCTCTTATTGTGACATAGTATCTGCATATCAGAGAGAACATCTGGCCTTTGGTTTGGGGGGATTGGCTTATTTCACTTAACATGATATTCTCCAATTCCATACATTTGACATTTACCTTTAAGCCTAGAGCTTCTTATTTTATTATGGACCTTTCACCATTAGCTGAGGGATCTGATCTCTCTGTCTTCTAAGAATGGGTGTTTACTATTTGAAGATGCCTTATGGTCTGAACGTCTCACACCTTTCCTATAATAAATACTGAATAGATGTATAAAGTGGTCAGGATGCCAGTGTCTATCTTTTTTAACAGGTAAACAGTTTGTCCTGTTTCAAAGGTCCCATTCATTCTAAGGGGCTTCCTTGGTATTAAAGTAATTTTTCATGTAATCATTTTGGTACTTTCCTTAGTTATTTTAAATGTAAGTGCCTTGCTGTTTTCATTTCTTCTCATTTGTATGCAGACATTTTCCTTTTCAATTTTTTTCCTTAGAGGCTATCACAACTGCTCATCTGTCCATTTTAATGTACTGTGGTTATACTCAAAAGGACATGGTGTCCCTTCTCCAACAATTTTCAACTATTCAACCAAAATTAATGTTGAACCTGCAATACCTAATTTAGAATCCTTTCAGACAATGAGCAAATGTCATCATGAACAGAACAGAATTACTTGGACCCCGTCATAAACCTACAGCTAAGAGATACAGGGATGAACAGCTTTATGCTGTGGTTTAAAAGGCAGCGAATAACTGATGTTTTCCAAGCAAGTCTTCTCCTTAGTCTGGCATAGCACTGAAAAGTCTAATCATTAACATTTCTCTCCAGCTTATGGAAATAAGACTTTCTAAAGTTATGATTTTTGGGGGGGAAAATACCATTGGGAAAGAAAAATTCACCCACCAATAATAGATGCTACATTAACACATAAGTCAAATGAATTAGCAAAGAGACCTCTAAGGCAATGGTGGAAATACTCATCTTTGGAAGGTTTGGTGCACATAAGTAGAGGAAGCTACTAAAATAAGCTCACTGTTGCCTGGAATCACAGGAAATACCTGCCATCAAAGATAGTTCAGGCTGCAGAAATATAACATTTCACTTAACATGATATTCTCCAATTTTGGGGAAGAAGAGAAGGGAGAAGAGAGGAGTTGGCTGTTATAATAATAATAATAAACAATGTTGTGGTGCGAGATTTTTAAATCACTGTTGCCCAAACAGTTCAGAAAAGTATTTTAACTAGGATATAAG